ATCTGCAGTCTAAAATGCACCAAACAAATCATGAACAATGCATGCCCCCAGAGGCATGCCAACCACCTGCAGATGCCACCAGCAGCATTGGTGGTGGCCAGCAGCGATTGGTGATCACCCGCAGATGCTGCCAGCAGTGACAGTGGCGAGGGGTGGTGAGCGGCATCAGCTGCAGCCAATCACAGGGGGTGCACATGCACTGCATTGCCAATTAAACAAATGTAGGCATTAAGGGATTTCAGAGTAATCAGAGTAAAGATCATTACTGATCTGGATCATTCCTGATCTGGATCATTCCTGTATGACTGTGTGAGGAAATTCTTCCTGCAATACTATTTATTCATTTTATCTACAATGGATCTACAATACTCCAGCTTGTGAATTTTGCCCTGGGTTTGAAATTGTGGCTAGGATTTCCTAGGTCCTTAGGCACTCTGTAGTTTGCCTTACACATTCAGCCCACTTATTAACTGACAGAACTGTGCAACTGAATTGGAAACAGATAAATACTGGCTCAGTCATGTGGTCTGGAATTAAATCCATCAGTGGTATTTAAAGTGACAACTCAAGCTTATCTGTACAGTAAATCAGCCAGCACAGCATAATAAATTATTTTTTCCTCTGTGTCAAAGGTTTTTGGAATTACAATTGAAATATATTTCTATGGTTATAGTCTATATGTTCAAATATCTGTGAGTTAAAGAAAACCCACATCTACATGAGATGTTTACTGCCAAATAGACTAATTAGCTCCACAGTAAATGTCTCAGCATCTACATGTGTGCCTCTATTAGGCCACAGGAAACTAATAAACTCTGCAGCAGGTTAGTACTTGTAAATACAAGTATTATCCAGCTACAGAGTTTTTTCATGCATAGCAGCACATGTGTAGGCACTGCCCAGCTGGCTGAGGCATAAGGGTACTTCAGTGTGGAAGCTGCCTGTTGACTAGCCCTTCACTGGAGCATACTCATGCCCCAGCCAGCCCTTCTGTAGCACATTGAACCAGGTTGGAGCATCCCTGGGCTGGCAGGCTGCCACCTTCCCCCTCCCCTCCCCCCACACCCTCCCACCTGGGGCTGTTTTGATCTGATCAGGCTCAATGTGCTGTGGCCCCACGTGCACATGTAAATGTGGCACCCAGGAAAAATAAACTCCAGTGCAATAAGCATGGAAGCTTATTGTGTTGCATTAATATGCATGTGTAGATGAACATGGTGTGACTACACTTGCTAAGGATTCATCTGCACAGGAAATTTATCCTGGCCTAATATAGGGTGTAAATTTAATATGCTATATAGCTAGTTAAACTAAATTGATTTTAATACATAATATGGGCCATCCCTGAATGCAGAATTGTAGCATTTCTGTTTTGAGTGTAAAGTTAGTTAGTTAAACTGGTATGAAAGGCTATGGACTCTCAGGGGATAGACAAATGTTTGCTATACCTCATCAAGATTTAGATAGCTTAAAGTTAGCTGCCTAACTGAGAACAGAAGTGGCATGTGCAGGTGTTCACTGCTGCCAGGAGCAGTGTGGGCAGCCCACGGTAAGTAATTTGGGGTAAGAGGAGAGTTTGGTGGGTCAACAGGGGGAGGGGGATGGGGAAGAGGTTGCCCATCTGGGGAAAGGGAAGGCTGGAAGTTTAAAATAGCTTGGTCAGGGTCAGTGGTGGGTAGAAACAACACAGCTCCAGGGCTGGGGCAAGTGGCTGGGATTTCCTAGCCCCAGGACTGTGTGTAAATGGCTGGAGGCAATAGCATTCACTGGATCAGGTTAACCCCTTCCTAGATCATGTTAATCCTTTCTCAGTCTAAGTTTCTTCACCTCCTGAGGTGAACTAATTTCAATTGGACATGTCATTTTTTTGCTAATTTAAGCCCAGAGAACATCTGTGCAAGTGGACATTTAGATCAACCTAACCCTGGTTAGGTCAATCCAAATATAACATCTGTACATACTCTGCGTTCAGTGTGCAAATTAAATTTCAGTTGGTTACAAGCTGTTTAAGCTAAACCAAAACAGGTTACTTGTAACACAATGAAGAAGTGTCCACACAGAGATCTGCAGCATTTTCATTGACCTGGTCCTGTTTGAGTGTAGGCAGTCTCTCAGTTAAAATGATTCAACTTTTTGTGCATGAACAAGACCCAAATATGCATCCAATATATCCTCACTATATACATGGAAATGCAACTAATCATATGTATCAATTATGTGTCATCAACAAACAAACCCTTCAGCTTTATTCCAATTTCATTTGGAAACTTTCCAAACCATGGTCTGGTCTGTCAAAATATGTCAACAATTTTTCCTGAGCTTCCTTCTACAACATTTTTTTTAACAACATATTCTTCACGCTTTAAACATGCCAGATATGGGCCATCCCAATGAATAATAACCTCCTACTGGACATCTTCACACTAGCTATATGAAATCCACATAATCAAAGCATTACTTGAAGCCTCTGATTACAGTAGAGATATGCACACACAATATAATATTCTGTTCTTTTCTCTGTTGTGTGAAGGAAGTTATAAATGAACCTTCTCTCCCTGCTAAAAAAAGAGATACTGACAATTACAATGGATTTGGTGGTGGAATATAAATGAGCAGAAAGATGCCAAGATATCAAGCCTAAACCATCTGGCTTAGTGATGGTTCTAAAGCAAATCTTTAATGTGATTTTTTGGCCCTGATTTGAATAGGATCTGTTTTCATGTCCTGTGCCGTATGAACCTCATTCAAGAAGGTCAAGTCAGATTAAATGAAACATTGTTAAGAGAGATTCTGTATTTCATTTCATTGTTGCTGCTTTGCTTATCATAAATACTTGCAAAAATCAGATAGCTTGTTAAAAAGAGAGAAAGAGAGGGAACGAGAAAGAAAGGACACTACTCTTACTGCACGCTTGGGTTTTAGCTTTTGTTTTATAATGAATTCCTCTTCATTTCTGCAGTCAGACTCAGGAGAATGCTGGAAGGTTACTTGTCACATGGAGCAAAATTTGATAAGTGAAGGGCACATCTGCAGATGTTACTATGAATCTTAAAGGGTGAAATCCAAGTATGAACCATACCGGATAGAACGGAGAGAAGAAGGGAAAGGGAGGGGTAAAGACTGGTAGGCAAAGCGGCACAGAAAGAATTGGGATAACCACAATTTATTCAACAAACAGCCAATGGCATTGTTTTATAGAAGGATTTGCTAGTGAAGGCTGACTGATTGTGTCGAGTTGAGTTTTGCTCATTCAGGGAGCTACAGTCTTGCTTCTGTTAAGAATTTCTTGCAGCTCTGTATTCCAGCAAGATCATTTTCAATACTGCTGAATAGTAACATTTCACTTTTAGCAGTGCCATGGTTTTCAGAAGAAAATTACAGCAATAAGCAAATGCTATTAAATCTGGAGAACTTGATGCAACAGGATAAGGCACAGACACAGACTGTGTGGCAAAAGGACATGAGGGATTTGTGAATATATAAATACATAGTCACTTCCCCTGCTTACAAGTGGCCCAAATAGATCTCTTATCATGGTTTGAACTGTGTAGTGTATTGGGTAAAGCTAAGGGGATATTTGGATATTTTTCCATTAATATTTACTTGAATACAAACTGAATTATGTTTCCTCATATTTCTCTGTATTCCTATTCTTAAATTACCATGAAGCATTACATTATTTGAATACCTCAGTAATACCTGAGTATTCTTTAAGTGCTTGTGGCTCTGCAGATATTCTATCATACACTTTTTCTAGATGGAGCATTCATTCATTATAAAACAGGCATATTTTAAGACATAAATGAAAGTAATCGCAGAAAACAAATGTAAACATCAGGATTCTCAATGGAAATGCAATTCAAAGAGTTTCACTTATTGAATAAAAACTAACAATCTTGGTCGATGAGATTGATTTCAGGGGGACACCCCCCAGTTGATGAGATTGGCCATGGGGGGACCCCCCAAGTCGCTGATTGGTCTCTGGGGGGGGGCATGTGCCCCCCCTGACTGAGATGGCACCAGTTGCCCATGCCTATGATAATAAAGTGCTTATACTCTGCTCCAGGCCTAAGACTACCTGCTAGGTTCAAGTGGTTTAGATACTCTCCACTTGAAATGACAAGTAGCCATTAAACCAAACCCCTTCTGTAACCTAAGTGCAGTTTCCTTCATATGATGTTCTCTAAACCTTGATGTTTCAAAAAAAAATCATCAAAATTCATTAAAAAATAGAATATCAATTCCCAAACTTAAGAATAGTCCACAGAATATTTAATCAGTGACTACACAAATATGAGAAACTGAGTCTTTTTGGTGAAGCCTTTTTCTACACTGATGCTCCTTTTTGAAGTCAATTCTCCTGTCCCTAAATGAAATCTAAAAAACAATGTCTAAAAGCAGCAAAGGTGGACAAGACACTTATAGTTCTTTTTGATTATCTGATAATCATCTGAAGGTGAGAGACCTATGCAAATATTTGCTAGGAGGCATATTGCTAATTATTGTTTACGTGGGGATGAAATACTAGATTCATTGAAATGAATGGTAAAATGTCCATTACTGTCTGTGGCAACAGGATTTTACCTTGTCGGTGAAAGTTTTTCACTATACAAAATGTCTAACCACTTAAGACTCAAAATGGGGCTTAAGAGGTAGAATGCCTAATAGCGCATAAGAGGTAGAATCTTAGAATCTTAGACAATCATAGAAAAATTAGGGTCGGAAGGGACCTCAGGAGGTCATCTAGTCCAATATCGTACTCAAAGCAGGACCATCCCAACTATATAATTCCAGCCAAGACTTTGTCTAGCTAAGTCTTAAAAGCCTTCAAAATGGAAATTTCACAACCTCTCTGGGTAACCTGTTCCAGTGCTTTACTACCCTGCTCCTGACAAAGTTTTTCTTAATATCTAATCTAAACTTCCCTTGCTGCAACTTGAGACCATTGCTTCTTGTTCAGTCATCTGCCACTACTGAGAACAGTCTAGCTCCATCCTTACCCCATTTCAGGTAGGCTGTTGTTAAATCCCCCTTCAGTCTTCTCTTCTTCAGAATAAATAATCCCAGTTCCCTCAGTCTCTCCTCATAAGTCATGTGCCCCAGCCCCCTAACCATTTTCATTGCCCTCTGCAGAACTCTTTCCAATTTGTCCACATCCTTTCTGTAGTGAGAGACGCAAAACTGGACACAGTACTCCAGATATGTGGAATAATCACTTCCCTCAATCTGCTGGCAACACTCCCAGCTCTGGTGCTTTCTGCAGAAACAGAGGGGAGAGAAGGGAGGGACAGTGAGCTGCAGTCTGGAGGTTGCACGGCCTGAACTGAATAAGGTGGGAGGCTCGAGGGGGCATAAGGCATGGGGGCTTCAATCCACCCACCCCACCTCCAGCTGATGGGCTGCATCAGCCCAGCCCCAATGATGCAACAGATTGACCCTAGGGAACAAGTCCCCAAGGGTGCTCCAAAGTGGAGTGCTTTCATCTGATCCCTCATTTTGGGAGGGTTAATTTGTCACATGATCAGCCACTTTGAAAGTGATTCATAGATTCATAGACATTAGGGCTGGAAAGGACCTTGAAAGATCATCAAGTCCCGCCCCCTGCCCAGAGGCAGGAAGTCAGCTAGGGTCAAAGGGTCCCAGCAAGATAAGCATCCAAATATTTCTTAGAGTCCCGAGTAGGTGCCTGCACCACCTCTGGAGGGAATCTATTCCAGGCCTTGGGGGCTCAGACAGTAAAGAAGTTTTTTCTTCCTTGTGTCCAGCCTAAAATGGTCTTGAATTATGGAGTGTGCGACTGTTACTGTTCTTTGCAGTGCTTTGCAGCCATGCACGTGTGCCACAGTGCAGCTGTTGAGTGCTATCAGGGGGCCAATTTTGTGACAAATGTAACTTCTGTCTGTACCCACAGCTGCCTGACTCTGGGTCCTGGCAGCTGTGGAGTGCTTTTGGGACCCAGAGTCAGCAACTGCTTGGGTGGGAGTCCCCCTAATTGTGGGTGCACCCCTGTGGCTGAGAGCCCCATTCACTCCCAGCCACAGTGGAGACCCTGCTACATGTACAAATTAAAGCTTGATAGCAACCAGCTATGATGTTAGTCCACATTTTTAGGTCTAACTTTATAGCTGCTTGGAGCTTTCTATGGCATGATAGGTACTTTGCAGTGTATCTGGTCTCAAGGTAATTGTGCAATTAACCTGTTAATTGCACAATACCTATAATACGTAGAGGGGGCATCAGTAACACATTGACTTGTTAGACAAGAATCTATAATAATTGATTAACTGTGTGTTAACATAGCTGTTAATCATGAAATGGAATGTAGAAATGGAAACTTAATTGACAATCTGATATAATTGGTAACAGTTATTATCAGTTTTTTGTTTTCTATATACCCTCCAGGACTTTGGATATGTATTTTCTATTAATTTTTAGGTCATAGGAGATTTGGATTTATAAGGAGACTTAGTTATATAAAGCAGGTTTCCCTTTACTGAGGAGTCTAGAAATAGTCTCATGATGTTATCTCAATCTTTATCTCTTCCCCCCTCCCCCAACTTCTTCTTCTCCATATGATTAATTGGAAATGCTTCTGAAACAGCCCTATTTAATTCACACAGTGTAAATGAGCATAATTTGCAAAATTGCATGACAATGTTAGGGGAGCTCTTAGTGCTAAACTAAAACCATTGCTTTTCCACCATTCCCCTAGCTAGAGCATAGATATATATTGAGGCTCTGTGAATTTCTTGTGAATGAAATTCTACTTAAGAACATTTTCATTACTTTAGTTACAATGAATTATTTATGGCTGGAATCAAACATACGAGCTTTTCTTTTGCAAAAGATGATTGAGTTGCAACAGAGTCAAGTCAGTAGCAATTGAATAAAGTCAGTATTTATTCCAATCTTCTCTCATTTTTTATAAAAACAATTTGTTAAAAATATATTTTTCTAAGGAGAGTATTTAAATATTAGAAAGATCTGGTTGTGTCTTTTGCTGTGCTTGACTGCTTTTTTCAATTGGCTTTTTCCAGAAATGAAAACCTCATTTCTACAACACAGGCAAACAATACAAAACAACCCCCCACATCTTTCTCTGTTGCCTTTATCTAGAGAATCTTTGTCAGGTCTTGTGTCAAGTCACGAGCTGACATTACACCATAACTTTCATTAACCTAAGGCCCAGGCATAACAACAATTCTGTAAACCTAAAAACAGATACCAAGGCAGGAGCTGTTGTCTGCTTTCACTCAGCTATTGACATCAAAACTTTCCATGAGGCAGGCAGATAATGGCTTTAGTACATTTCAAGTTTTTTATGGCAAAGATTACTGCCTACACAAATCATAACCAAGCTCTGGAACACATGACCCTTATATTTATCATGGGACAAGACATTAATACATAATAAATAATAATAAACATTTATGAAGTCATTTACTTCAAAGAACTTGACTTCCTTTTTAAAGGAGGTTAAGTATCATCTTACATATGAGGGAATAGGAAGCACAGAGAGGTTAAGGAATAACTTGTCAAGTGTGAATCCAGGCTGGATTTTTCATAGCCCACTTAGAGACATATAGGCCATGTCCAAATGAGCATGGCCATGTGGTATATGTGCTACAGACACATCTGTGGTGCCACATACCACACGTTCAGTTGTTCTTTGCACTGAGGGGTTTTTTGACCCCTGGATATTCAGGGGTCAAAAGAACCTATGGGGAAAAAAAGCAGGGCAACACACAGGGGCAGTGTGCGCCTCTCAAGAGCAGAGCTGGACCTCTCAGAGCTGTGCTGTAGCTGCTGGCCAGGCTTTGCATGGCAATTTTGCCACTGCTGCAGCCCCAGGAGGTCCCCAGGAACTCAGGTAAGGCTCCTGGGGTAACCCAGTGCTAGCCCCAGCCTCCCCTGCCTCATTCAGGATAACTTGCCATGTGCCAGAGTGCATGTAGCACAGGAGTTCTACAGGGACAACTAGTGGTGGCAAAAGGTATGTCACTGCTAGTTGTCCCTGGGGAACCAAACATCCACACCACATGTGGATGTAGCCACATAGCCCACATCCACAGTTCTCTTTGATTCCAACTGCAGTTGTTTGTTCTACACATCCCTGAAAATCAAGCCTTAGAGTTTTCAAAGTGGTCACCCTAAAATTGAATCATGCAAAAATTGCTGTGCTTCAGAAACCCTCAGCCTCACAGCTGGATCCACAGAAGAAGCTGGGCACCAAAGTATAACTTGGAAGAGACTTAAGGACTTAAACTGATGAAGCAACCTTTCTATAAATCCTTCTTTTTGGAACAACATCCCATGGTCAAAGAAGCCAAAGCTCTGCTGGAGACACCCTCTGTGCAACTATGAATTGATCTGCAGGATGTGTTTGCCTTTGTCCATGCCCTTCCCCTTTATTGGAAATATCAAGGAAAACACCACCTGAGCTTCCATCCACTTCACCTTTGCACCTAGCACCCATTAGTCACTTTTGATCTGCTCAGAGTCACCTTTGGCAGTATTATTGGTGCCTACATGGATCAACAGTGTGGGATAGTAGAAGGCTGGATGCGTCTCAGTATCTTTCCATGACATCTTATATCCAGGCTCTGGGTTAACAAGAAAATAGATCTGGCAGGCCTCCATCCCATACAGAAGGGAGTCTTCAACCACCACCACTCATTGCTTCCTCTTGGTGGCAGTGATCTTGATTCTCCCAAGCTTGGGGATGCCTGGCCTGGCCTTTTCAACCAATGGAACATACTCCTCCTCTGTTGTTAGTGCTCTGTGTCAGTTCTTCAGGCAAACTGATTCAGGTCAAAATGCAGACTTCTGCTTGCTGCCAGAGGTCACAAACTTCCAGCTTCCACTTTCCTTGAAGTCTATCTCCTTTTCCTTCTCTAGTGCTGCCTCTGGGAGTTCTTCCTCCACAACCTCCTAGTGGTTTCCTCCAGTACTGAATCGATGAAGTCCTCATGGCTTAGGACTTCAATTTCTATTCAGCTGCTGCCTAACTCTGGGAGCAGCAGGGAGTTTATACACAAGTGCAGAGGCTGCTCTGATGCACAGGGATTGCAGCATGTTGGAGTAGACTTGATTAATCAAGTCTGCTAAAGTGTAGCCATTGCTGTGCTCTAGTAGCCTCCCGCATCTCATGTATCAGTGTCCCTGTGCTAAAAAATGGTGGTGGCGGTGCTTTATCTAAAGGTCATCAAATTAGCTTTAGTTCAAGCACCCCGATGCCATTTTTAAGTGCAGGGATGTTGATATAGAAGACACTGTGGCACTTTAATTAGAGCAGCTCTCAGAGCCACTATAATTAAAGTGCCACCCCTTCCCTCTCCCCCATCCCCAGAGCACATGTAAAAGTGCCCCTAGATTCTACAGATGTCTCAGGTTTTGATATTAAAGGTCCTCAGGCACCTAATGTCTGCCTTTCAATAGGCCAGGCAGTGACTAAGTTTGAATGGTTCTGAGCAGTTGGGCTGCTGGTTCATGTGGAGTCCAGTGGTCTATGTACTCATCTGGGAGGGTAGAGTCATGGGTTTCCGTTCCTGTGCCAAGGACTCCATATGTATTTGGCATTCAATATTTTTTGTATTTGTAATTTTGTTATTTACAGTATATTTTTATATTTTCCAATAAGCAACTAGGAATGGGCCTGGGAATCCAGTTTCCTTTCCTACTCTTT